AAACACCTACAGCTAAAATGATGAAATATCGCATATTCTTCTACTAAGATGAAGAGGAGGACCAGACGTCTGCTTCACCACATATTACTAGAGTACTTGGTCAGTGCCAAAGGCATAAATGTGAAATGCAAAGACAAGGAAGAAAGTGAGAAGGAAAGGAAAAGAATATAGATCAAAAAGGAAGAAATAAAACTATATTATCAGATGAAATGATCGTCTATATAGAAAAATCTAACAAATATACAAAAAACTACAATAACTGGTAAATTAATTTAGTAGAATCACAGATTCAAGGAGAACATGCAAAATCCAATTCTATTTCTGTATGTTAGCAACAGACAAATGGAAATTGCAATTAAAACATGAAATTTATATTAGCATCAAGAAATATGAAACATTTAGGGATAAATTTATCAAAATATGTGCAAGATCTTTACCTTGAAATTACAAACTATTGCTAAGAGGAATTAATGAAGATTTAAAAAGCGAGAAATACTAGTAATACAAAACAGCAACAACAAATTACTGACATACACAAAATCCTCAGAAAAGTAGGCATGTATACTTGCTTGAGCAGAAAACTAGTAGAACAGGTGTTATTATGAATTACAAAGTTATGATAAGTGAAAGAATCCAGACACAAACATTACATAATGTAATACTTTGATGCGGAATTCTAGAAAAATAATAGTGATAGAGAGCACTTGGGTGGTTGCCAGGGTCCAGAGCGTGGGGACGGAGATCGAACACAAAGTGGCGTGAGGCAGCTATTTGGAGTGACAGAAATTTTTGATGTCATGATCATGGTGATGGTTATGTGACTGTGCAAATTTGTCAAAATACATCCAGTTGTACACTTAAAGTTGGTTAGCTGTATTACGCCTCAATAAAGCTAGCCAAAAACAAATGTTTTGCCCTGTCCCCAATCCAGAGTTTGTTAAATTTTTGTATCATTATATTCTTCAAGGATTCTAATACTTGGTGTCTTTGGTCTATGTTTCATATGAAGCATTAAAAAAGATGTTGTATAGAAATAGAATTTTCATTTATTAGCTGATTCTAAAACTTTTATCTTTTATGTGCTGCAATTTATTTGTGCCAAGCTAAATATGCCCACACAAGCTTTTGTCTTAATTTAGTGATAAAAAATGCATCAGAACCAAAATATCCTACAGATACAAATGTTCTATATTCTGAAACATTTTCAATAATGAAATGATAAAAATAAGAAAATGTAAAATTTAATCATATTCAATTATGAATCCATATTCATCTTTTAAAAGAATCCCTTATCTCCCACTGACAGGAGAATAAATTTAAAAAATTATTGAAAATAATTTTTTTTAAGAAAAGGAATGTCCACTGGTCAAAGGTATAAACTTATTTCCCTTTTTAATGAACTTCATTTTTAATGTTTTCTTTAAAAATATAGGTTCCAAGGACAAATTGTCACATCCTAAATTTTAAGTGAATGTATGATTCAGACAATACTGTGTTTTTAAATATTTTGTTAAAGGAAGTATCTTCCTGGCCCACTTGGGATAATAAGTAGAAAGTGGGTGAGGAGTTTCATATAAGAAATTCATTACAACTGTTCTAAGTATTTTGATTCCTTCTTTTACAGGTTACCTAGGAATTTCTGCCATTCAACCTCACTTAGCACATGAACATCGGGTTCATGTTTCAACTAACTATCCAAGCAGACAATGGGGACTATTCCCATCTTCTTGAGCTGCAAATGGAATCCAGGCTTTCCTCTAAGTCCACCCTCACTGATGAACTTCATTCATCTTAAAAATGTGTCCCTTCCACTGTGTTGTAGTACTCTAAGAATCCATTCCTACATATGTTCTCAAGTACGTGCAATAAAAAACCTCGCAAATTTTTGTTCCCTAGATCATGCTGTGTTCTTGTTTTCCCAGGATGATATACGTTTAGTTATGGTATATACAGTAATAAAGCAAGCAAGGGATACACTATCACATCACCTTGCAAAGGGTACTCAGGTGAGATAATTATATGGTTTTACAGAAACCTAAGATTAGCCTCATAAGAAAGGAAAGGAGAAGTAACTTCTGTGGCAAGATATTCTCAATGTGTTTTGGGTGTTTGAATCGTTCAAATGCATTCACATTTCCCCTTTCCATTACTTGAAATCCCCCTCTTTCCCAAACAATCTCCTAACTTCCGCATGAGAGACCCAGCCAGTTTGTTAATTCAGCCTGCAGGGTAATTTGCCTACCCACAGGATCAGACCCCACAACTTGAGCTGTAAGGGATGAGGAATTATTTTAAGGGAGCTCCCTGGTCCTTTGATCACAAGCTGGGGCAAGATATAAAATCCTGAGCTTGTTTCATTTTCTGTTTTGCTCTCCAGCACAGTTAGTAATAGCCAGTCGGCTCCCAGACGTTGCACTCCACGTTTTCACCACTATGGTCTATTGCGGCAGCAACGAGCCTGCCATGCGTTCCGTCCATACTCACTGCCTTCCAGGGGACCCCATTTAAGGAACTGTTTGCCAAGCATAAGTAACATGCGTTACCAATGTCTCATTTTCTGATGTTAACGGAGTCATCACTGAATCCAAACATAATCAAACCCCCAAATCCTACGGCATTGAGAGTCTTATTTGCTACCACTCCCGGGATTATCATAGATTAGATGCAGAAAAAACAATGTCTTCTAGCTAGGTTAAGCAGTGGGCATTTAATACAGTATACTGAATGACATAAAAATTTGGAGAGCGCTGAAAATACAAATCATGATGGAGTTTCAGGAAGTTCTTCCAGAACTACACAATAGTCCTATATCAGGAAACTCCAGCTCAGACACCCACCGTAAAGGTACCAATATCAGGAAATAATTATAGCTGCATTTCATAAGCAGGAGATGCCTGCTATGACCTCCAACAGCAGAATGGATTCTCAGAGCTCTGCTTTTTCCCACCACTTCTGCCTTCTAAATCACACGTAAGTGCACATAATTGGCCAACGCTTTATTACATTCAGGATCCCACTAGCCAAATGATCTAGGAAATGTAATTGTTAGTTTTCTAGTGTCTGCACAACAGAGGCACACTGGTGCAGAGGTCAAAAAGGAGCTGAGTTGCAGTCCACCATACTCATCGGTGACGACAAACTTAAGTATCTCTTTATTCTCCCGTGATGTTTTAACCCACAATCTAACCAAGATGGATTAAGTGTCCCGTGGTCTACCACATTACCTAACATGTCTTTTTGCAGTAAAATGATTAAAAATTTTAGACAATGCCCCATTTAACACTGGATAACTATACCCCTTCAAATCAGAGATAATACTATCCACAAGGTAAAAATGGACAATTTTTTATGTTAATGATAATTTTATACACCTTTTACTTCTCCCCAAATTGGTTGTTTCTCACCATGTAAACCTAGGATTTGTAGAGAGTTTTGACTTCTAGCAGGAAAATACTATACACATTTATGATATATCAAATGTAAAATATGAATGTTTAAATAATATGAAAGAATACAGATAATGGCAGGAGATGCCGTTAAATTACTCTGTTCCCCATCAAAAAACTTGTACATGTATTGGGTCTTTTTGTTTTAACAGAATATCAAGTTCATTGTGCTAAACAAGATTTCTTTTTTAGAGACCAAATATTTTGAGTTGGGAAGGCTTTTATCAGCATGTCCAAGGACTAATAATGAAAAGAAACATGATCCCCTGAGCTAGCTGCTAACAGTATCTCATCGGTCTTTATTGGGTATTTACTCGGCAAGATTGTATTTATTCAACACTGAAGAAGAGGTGTGAAAGCCAACATTTCACCTAAACCGTCTGCTAACCTAACAAGCAGACTAGAAACTCAAGATCTTGATAGCTCCCCAACTGCACTATATTGAGCTCGATGTATTCCAGTAAAGACCGAGAATTTCTCTCCCTTATATATTGTTATAAAGGTACAATCTTTGCTTTCAGGAATAAATAAAAATATACTTAGAAATCAATTGATAACAATTTGTAGAAATGTCCTGGTAAGAAGGAGGAGAGTGATGGGCTGTAGAAAAGTAGCAGGGAATATCAAAATAGATAAAAGGTTTATGGAATAGACCCCAGCTGCCATATCCATCATGCTCCAAGCTAAATGCTGCAAAATACTAACTGTTACAAGTAAAGAAATTTCCCCCTCAGAAACATCCCCAGGTTTTGCTTAGCCTTGGTGTTTCACAGAGCAGGACCCGTAGTCCATGGATCAGTTTCTAAAATTTGAATTCATATGCCCTCCCCCACACCCAGTGTAAATTCAGGCAAAGAAATTTTTACAGGCTCAACTCAGTCTTCTTCTGTCCTTTCTCTTGCATGCCTTAATTTTTAGAAGGGACAAAAATATTTTCATAACTCTCCTTAATTTTGAGCTTTGTGTTTTCATATATACATGCTATTTCTTTGAAACAGTACCCAGGGTCACCCTGTTCACTGGTCTGACTGCACCCCTTCATGAAAGTAGTAGTGGTAGTAGTTATAGTGGAGAGCTTAGTATGTGACAACCATTATTATAAGTCTTTTTCACTTATAAACTAATCTAATCCTTTAACCATCCCCATTTTATGGATGAAAAAACTGAGGCACAAAGAGTTTAAGTAACTTGTCCAAGATGGCAGTGTAGAATTAATAATAGAAACCTTAACTACATTGGAGTTGAGAAGGCCTGTAGGGGAGCTCTCACACCCTACTATATGTCATCAATTTCTCCAAACAGGAAGAGAGGGACGCTTGCATCTCCAGTAGAAAGTATAACTACTTTACTACTGAAGGAAGATTTCTCTCCCCGCCAGGCAACAGCCCAGCCAATGAGAAATGCCACAGCTTGACCAATGAGAAGCCATTGCTGCCCTGAACAGTTACTTTCCTCCAATGGATTTTCCTTTAGAACAGCCCCTCCCTGCTCCCCCTTTTCTCTATAAAAGGAGCTCCCCTGCTGTGTTTTCTGGATTTGCCTACTGTTTGCCATAGCATGCACGCCCCAAATTGTAATTCTTTTGGCTATTCCCAAATAAACTCATTTTGAGGATAAAATGACAGGAGAATTTGCTTTTTGAATTGACAACAGTACTAGTAAGTGGCATAGTTGAAATTTCAATAGCTCAATGCATTGGATTTTAGCATTATACTACTTGAGCAGAAAAACAGAAAAGAAGGCAGTTTTCTTTGCAGTCTCAGGTGATGGTCATGCTTCATGCTCCAGATGTCAGACTTGGCTAGCTCTTGTCAGTTCTACTGCATTAAACTACAAGCTCCACATTCCTCTTTTGAAGTCATATGAAATATTAACCCCTCAAAAAGTAAGATGTGGTTTGCAGGGGATTTTTTTTTTCAGTTTCAAATAAAATGGAAAGTTTTTTTTTCTTTTTTTTCACTTTTGTTTGTTTTGTTTTTGCAATATGGTCTAGAGAAATAAATCACCATTATTATATTTAGTTTAACAACCATTTTATTTTGTAGGAGACGTAGAAATTTTTCCATTGCAATGTTTCTCTTCTTGTTGATGTACTGACTCATAACCTGGTTAGGCAAGTGATGAAAGTTGAGGCAAAGAGAGAGACTTAGAATGGAAGCAAATTTCCTTCACTACCTCCTCTTATTGATTGCTATAAGTAACCAAAATCCCCTCATATTTAAAGTAGTGTTCAGGTTCCAATGAAGTCAAATCATAGCACCATTCCACTTAAAAACTCCTAAATTTTGAATGTTCTCTCTTACATCTATGAAATAAAAGAAACAGTAAATTTCAAGTGGATAAAATTTACAAAATAAGTCATTGAGCTCAAGTTACATTTACAAATTGTACTTACAAAACCTTGGTATGAACCACTTCTGTTTCAAAATAGTAGCAATTTTTTTCATCATTAGTTAAAAACCCACTCAAGTGGCCAATACCTAGGGCTTCTCATCAGCTTGTTTACCATTTCTATCCAACCATGCGGACTCAGAGTAGGGCTATATTTTGTGCCCAGCTACACATCTTCTGAGAAGGTGAGTCATCCTGTTAACATTCTCAATTTCCAGCACAACTAGGAAATTCCTTAAACTTGGGATGAGATGCCACAGGCTGCTTTTCGGTGATCCCTTAATGTTTTGTCTTGTTTATATTTTCTTAGTACATTGAAAACGCACTGTGGGAAAGAGAGCAAGGATGTAGGAAATGGAGTGAAATAAAAACCTGCAGTGGACAGAACTGATGTTCCTCTCCACAGGCTGACTTTCCAGAGCATTCTTGCTTCAGCCAGCAGGTGTCTACAGGTGCAGTCCGGCAGGTATCATCAGTTGGAAGGCATGAAGAGTCAGAGACAGCAGAGTAACTGCCGTGGAAGGATGAATTAGCCTAAGGGCTACTTGCTAGCAGAGGTCTGTTGGAAAGCTCTCTTCCTCTCATTCTGGATCTAATGCACTGATTAAGTTTAGCTCTTCCTACGAAGAAAAAGGTTTAAAGTAACAATAAAGCTCTATTTGCAAATAAGGAGACAGGAAAAAACAAAGGTTCTTTCTGAAGAGTTGTCTGTTCTAATCTCTGTTGCCATTTCAGCATATAATGTTCTAGAGTCATCTTATTTCCGTATTAACAAAAACTGTAAAATATTTCAAGGAAACAATTTTTCATGGTCAGAACAAACTATTTGTGAGTTGGATCTTTAAGTTAGAAGTAATGTGAAAACTTTTGTAGCCTGCACTGCATTAACAAGAGGTAGACTTCACAAAGCAGATCACCGTTGACGAGGTACTGCTCACACACGCGTCACCTAATGGGCCATAACTATAAAATGTAGAGAAAGTAATTTTTTTACAGTAGAAATACATGACTACCTAACATTCCCCCAAACCACAAATCAATACTACCACAAGGCATTGCATTTTGCAGCATTTAGACGAGGTGCTGCTCAGCTGGAAATGATGGAGCAGGATTTGAATACGCTCTTCTGATTCTCAAGATCACACGTTTTCACTCATGTTGATCACACCACTTAGCTTCTGATACAGTCCTGATTTCAAGTAACTTTATTACTTCAATAAAGGCACTTTATTAAATGTGCACATACATGTGTTTTGTTGTGATATGGGGAAAAATTTCGTGGAATATAAAATATTAAAAATCCGTTGTAAAAATACGTCTTGATGTTAACAGAAAGTAAGGCATTTTTAATCATACCACTCTGACTTTATAATGAAACAAGGTAACTAATATTTGTTAGGTGAAAACTATTTAACAAGTACCGTATATATAATTCTCTCATGATTCTTCAAAACAACCTTGTGGATTAGACAACATCAGTCCAATTTCAGACAAAAGTCACAGGGATTTTAAAAGTAAAATAATCATGCAAGAACTATGTAGTAAATAGTAGAGCTGTGGGGATTGATCCTGAGTCTAAGATCTCCAACAGTTTTGTGCTTTCCTCTGTACCATGCTGCCTGAAATGGAATGTTCCCCCTACCTTAAATTTTCTGCGAAAACTTTCTGATTCTCACCATAACGTCTTTATTAATATAATGAATGTAAGGCTTCTATCCAGTATTCATTTTCAAATTTGCATTTTTCTTACTTTTCAGTTCCGTATTTGATGCCTTAATTATTTTAAGACTGGATATATTTATTAATACATAATCTCTCTAGTTCCAATCCCATATTGGGCTGTCAAAAGTAAGTTACCAAGCAAATGATGATGAAAAATAAAGATACACAACATTAATGAAGATAGTATGACTGTTTGAATCACAAAGGGAGTAAGCAAGTTCTTGGCTTGAAAATATAAACTGATGTTTTCTGTTAAAAATCAGTTAAAAGTTATTTGCACTTCACACAGTAGAATATTTTTGCTCCTAGACCCATTTAATTAGCAAAAAGTACTGATTTGAGCCTCCTCTATTTGAAAACGACTATTTTCCCCTGAAGTCATTTTAACTGTCTCTCCTTTTGCTTTCATCAAACTAAAGAACGGTGTACCTGGAAGTATGGGGATTCTGAGATAAAACAAGATACTGAATAAAAACAAAAAATTTATGATCTATTTATCCTTTTTCTTTCAAGAAAGCATTGGCCACTTTTTGATAGAGTATTTGAAAGAGTTAAACCATCATTCTTTTATTAATACATCACAGGTAAATCATGTGGCAGGAACAGCCTGCACCTGTATTCCAAAACCAGCTGTTCCTACTAAAATTAATGTCTGTAGCATCCTGGCTGGCAGTGGATGATGGAGCCATTAATCAAAAATGTACAAGTTTACTGAGGTTTCAAGGTTTGGCACAATGGTAATTTATTTATCACCAGTTTCCTGAGAAATACAGGTTGAGGAAAAGAATTAGATAATATACCTGATTAAACAGTCAACTTTTTCTAATATGGGCTCAATTCACTGGATTCTTCTTGACTTATAAAAAGAGTCTCTACTTCTTTGTCATGCATGCAGCCTCTTGCATCTGTTTACCATCTACTGGTAGCCACCAGAAAAAGGAAGGAGGGAGGGAGGGAAGGAAGGAGGGAGGGAGGGAAGGAAGGAGAGAGGGAGGGAAGGAAGGAAGGGAGGGAGGGAAGGAAGGGAGACAGACGGACCCAGGAATACAAAATGAAATCAAATGAATCTGAAGCAAACATATAGACACTCTTCCTTGACCTATGATCCAAAAGTATATTCCTTATTTGATGTAAGTTTAGAGTAATCTATTATGCATTTTAAAAATGCAGTTTAAAACTTTACATTTTGGGGGCCAGCCTGGTGGCATGGTAGTTAAATTCATGTGCTCTGCCTCCGCGGCCCGGGGTTTGCTGGTTCACATCCCAGGAGTGGATCTATACACCACTTATCAAGCCATGCTGTGGTGGCATCCCACATACAAAACAGAGGAAGAGTGGCACAGGTGTTAGTACAGGGACAATCTTCCTCAAGCAAAAAGGGGAAAATTGGCCACAGATGTTAGCTCAGGGCCAATCTTCCTCACCAAACAGAACAAAACAGAAAACAAACAAACAAACAAACTTTACATTTTGTCCTACTTTAAGCCAAGATGGAAAAACAGGGGCCAGATTTACCTTCTTGGCTGAAACAGTTTTTAAAAATTTGAAAAAATATATGAACAATAGTCTTCAAAATCTTGGCCACCAGCCATCCCTGAGAAATGGTAAACAAAGAAGGTGAGCACTATGCTTGCCCCACCTTACTGTCTAGGGAGTTTCCAGGCTGCAGGACAGGGAGAAGGAACCAGAGCAGAGCTTGGCATCTCTCTACTGGGGAGCCTGAGCTGAGAGCTTGGGGAGGCACAGGAGCCTAGCGTGTGCAGGACAGATCCCCGAGAGGAGAGAGCTGCTCAGAGGCACCAAGTTTCCAGCAGAGTTTTCACGAGCAAAGGCATGTGAGGAAACTACAGTCAAGAAAAGAAACAACCAGAGAATAGGGTACAGTCCCTCAAGCCCACACAAGGCTGAGAATAGTTACTAGTTCCACTAGGCAGAGTAGAAAAACCACATAACTCACAGGGCACTGGATAGAGTGTTCAAAAGTGTTTTTCCTCAGAAGTGGAGTAATATTAACTGTGGTAAGATTAATTCTATTCTAGAATTGTCTAAAAAAGCCTAAAAATAAGAGTAAAACGGTTTCTGTGTAGCTTAGTTATATCCCATAACAAAGTGGAAGAATATTTGTAGTAATACATAAATATTTCAGCAAGCTAAAATAAAGTGATACTTCTTCAACCTGATTAACTTCAGCTATGGAAAACCTACAGCTAACATCATAGTTAATAGTGAAAGACTGACAGTTTTCCCTCCAAAAATAATAACAATAATAAGGCAAGGATATCTACTCTTATCCAGTTCTATTTAATATCATACAGCAGGTACTAGTTAGAGCAGTAAGGCAAGAAAACAAAATAAAGTATATTCAGATTGAAAGGAAGAAGTAAAACTGTCTTTATCCACAGATACCATAATCATCTATGTGCAAAACTTGATGGAATCTACAGAAAATGCTACTAACTAATAAATGAGTTTACCAAGGTTGCAGGATACAAATCAGTTTACAAAAATCAACTATATTTCTACTACTAACAATAAGTGATTAAAAATGGAATTTTAAAAGATTATCTGCAATTGCATCAAAAATATAAAGTGCTTAGGTAAATCTGACAAAATATGTACAAAATCCATATACTAAAAATGATAAAAAGTTACAGAAATAAAACTAAAGAGAATTTAAATAAATAGATATACAATGTTTGTGGATTGGAAGACTCAATATTTATTAAGATGTCAATTCTAATTTGATAATTGATTCAACCAAAACCGATCAAGATCCAAGCAGGCTTTTACATAGAAATTGATAAGCTGATTATAAATTTAAATAGAAATGCAAAGAACCTAGAGCAGTAAAGTCAATTTGAAATAGAAGAGTCAAGTTAGAGGACTTATGCTATGTGACTTCAAGATTTATTACAAATCTACAGTAATCAAGACCACGTGGTATTAATGCTGAGATAGACAAATAGATAAATGGGAAGAACAGAAAGTCCAGAAAAGACCTGCACACATAGGGTCAATTAATTTTTGACAAAGATGCCAGGACAATTCAGTGGATAAAGAATAATCTTTTCAACAAATGGTGCTGGAATAATTGGATATCCATATTCAAAAAATAATCCTGATCCATACCTCACACCATATACAAATATTAACTCAAAATAGATTATAAATGTAAATTTAAAGTCTAAAACTATTAAGCTTCTAGAGGAAAATCTTCATGATCTTGGTTGGCTTAGACAGTGATTTCTTAGATATGGCACCAAAAGCAAAATCCACACAGGAAAAACAAAGATTAATAAAATCAAGCACTCTGGCTCTTTAAGAGACACTGTTTATTTATTTTATAAAGGCAAGTTGCAGAGTGGAAGAAAATTTTTGTAAATTACTTGTTTGATAGAGAACTTCAGTCTAGAATATAAAAAGAATTCTCAGAATTCAACAAAAAGAAAACAAACAGCTCAATTTTGAAAATGGGCAAAATATTTGAATAAAATTTTACCAAAAAATATATGTGGATGGAAAATAAGCACAAGAAAAGATGTTCAACATCATTAATCATTAGGGAAATGCAAATTAATACCATGATGAGCTATCACTATCCACCTATTAAAATGGCTACAATGAAACAGATTGACGATGCCAGGGGCTGGTGGGATGCAGAGCAAATGCAGCTCGTACACGCTGCTGGTGGGAATTTAAAATGGTACTACCACTTACTGGAAAGCAGTTTGACAGTTTTGTAAAAACTTAAACGTATTGTTACCATATGACCCAGGCTTTCCACTCCTACGTATTTACCTAGACAGAGGGAAGCATATATCTGTGTAAAGACTTATTTATGAATTTTCATAGCAGCTTTATTTGTAATAACCAAAAACTTAAAACAATCTGAAAGCCCATCATTAATAGGCAAATGGGTAAATAAATTGTGGTATATCCATACAGTAGACTAACACTCTGCAATAAAAAGGAATGATACATGGAACACATGGGTAAAGCTTAAATTATTCTGAGTGAAAGAAGCCAGACCAAAATGAGTATGCAAAGTAGGATTCTATTTAAATAAAATTCTAGAAAATGCAAACTAATCTACAGTGAAAGAAACCCCATCAGCGGTTGCCTGGGGAAGGGAGGTGGAAAGAGACAGGAAGGAAGGTTACAAAGAAGCACTTGGCAATTTTTAGAGGAATAGATATATTCATTGTCTTTATTGTGGTGATGGTTTCAAAGATATATACATATGTCAAAACTGATCAAATTATACGTTTTAAATATGTTTAGTTTATTGTTTATCAATTATACCCCAATAATCCTATTTTTTTTAAACCATATATTGTCAAGATCAGAAAGCTTTAAAATAACCTGTCAGAATTTTGGCCTAATTTTGATTTGAAAGAGTTTCAAAGTCATAGGAATTCAATAGTCATGAAGGATCCAGTGTTTGTTTGGGAAACCCAAGGGTCCAGCTTTTCTTTTGATACCTGAAAACTTTTCTTTTATGAATATCAAAATCCAAGTCATATACCAGTACCTAGTGTCTCTGTTTAACCTCTTATTAAATTACAGCTTGTTTTCACTCAGTAATCATTCCCACTGATTATGAGCAAATTCTGAGCAATGTCTGCACCTTAGGCATTCTTTTTTTTCTTTTTTTAACATCTAGTGCTGTGCCTCACAAATTGTTCATCTTTAATAAAGTATTGGCGAGTGATTGAGTGAATGCATTTTACTACTCTGACGCATCAAATCCACTCTTGGCTATCTGGAAGAATTATTATTTTGAAATAACAACAATAGTAATAATTCAATGATTGCTGAATGTTTACTTTGGTTCATGTACAGATTTAAGCATTTCATGTTTAATTCCTCAAACAACCATATTGACACTCTCATTTTATTGTCTTGACAGAGAAATTTTGCTACAGGTGAACAATATCTTATATTAGGCTCATATTCACATATAGGATTTTCTATGAAGTACTTGGTTTCAGAAAAAAATCATTTTAATAAGAGAAGGTGTTTTATTGCTATTAATTTGGCTTGAAAATTGCATTTGCACATCTCTAATTATAAATGCAACTTTTTTTATTAATCTTTCCCATCCTTTTTTTTTTTATTTTGTTGAGGTCACATTGGTTTATAACATTGTGTAAATTTCAGGTGTACATCATCATATTTCGACTTCAGTATAGATTGTATTTTGTTAACCACCAAAGTCTAGTTTTCATCCATCACCAGATGTATATGCCCATTATCTTTCCCATCCTTTAAGTCTTCCCTATCACATGTGGCAAAACTAAACCCTTACCTAAAAGTCAAGCAAGAGTCCTTTGAAAACAATACAAATAGAGAACAAAGAAGATTTCCTTTATTTTATTAATTTAAAAAATCTTACGTATATTGATCACCTGATATGTTTGCAGAATAATAATAATAATAACAGTACTAATATTAGTAATAATAATAATAAATAGTAGTAAAGGGACCATAATGAACTGAATAGAAAAAGTATTTAGAATAATCATAATTAAAAATCTAAAAAATTCCTTATATAAGACTAAGTCTTTTTTTTCCCCCTTGCTAATTTTAATGACCCTGGAAAATACAAGCCATCTGGCTTTTTGGAAAATATAAATATACCTGTAGATTGTACATATACCTAAAGATTTACTTTTTCTAAATATAAAATATTCATTGATTTTTATTTTTCCAATAAAGCAATGATTAAGCAAGACAAGTAATAACTAAATACTATAAACTCCTGAGGAGACTTATTCAAAATTGCTGTCTTGAAAGCACCAAACTACTCTCTCAAATTCTTTCTTGCCATATTTTATTGTTACAACTAATTAGTTGTATTATGCTAGTGGATTTTCAAATGCAACTGATGTTAGTTCACTGATTTTTATAACCTAAGTATATGTCTCTGGTTTAAGGCATGATGCTTTTCCTGCAAACATTTCAAACAATGTAAGAGGATGATAAATATAGCAGAAATGCACTAAGCTAGATTTTGTGTTTTTTTGGTACATTTTGATTTTTTAAAACTTTTTTATTGAATAAATTTGACATATAGCATTGTGTAAGTTTAAGGTGTACAGCACGTTACTTTGATACATTTACCTATTGTGATATGATTGCGGATGTAGCAATACATATCACATTACATAATTATAGCACAGTACTACTGTCTACACTCGTTCTACTGTGCATTAGATCTCTAAGGCTTATTTACTACCTGTTGCAAGTTTGTACCCTTAAATATCATCACTCCAATCCCCCCTCCTATCCCCTGGTAACCACCATTTTACTCTGTTTTTCATAGGTTTAACTTTTTTAGATTTCACACATTAGGTGATATTATGCAGTACTTATATTTCTCTGTCTATCTCATTTAGCAATATGTGCTCAAGGTCCACCCATGTTGTCGCAAATGGAAGGATATTCTCCTTTCCAAGGGCTGCATAATATTCCTTTATGTCTATGTACCACATCTTTTTTAGCCATTCTTTCATTATGGGCATTTGGGCTGTTTCCATATCTTGGCTACTGTGAATAATGTTGCACTAAAACACAGGAGTGTATTCATCGCATTGAAATCCTGTTTTTATTTCCTTCGGGTATATACTCAGAAGTGGAATTGCTGGATTGTGTGGTAGATCTATTTTTAATTTTTTGAAGAACCTACATATTGTTTTCCATTGTGGTTGGACTAATTTACATTCCCACCAATAATGCATAAGGATCCTCTTTTCACCACATCCTTGCTGGCACCCGTTGTCTCTTGTCTTCTTGATAATAGCCATTCTAACAGGTGTGAGGTGGTATCTCATTGTGGTTTTGATTTGCATTATCCTGACAATTAGTGATGTTGAGCATCTTTTCCTGTGTCTGTGGTGGTCTCTTTAGAAAAATGTCTATTTATTTCTTCAGCTCATTTTTAATTGGTTGTCTGTTTTTTTGTTATTAATTTGACTGATTTCTTTATATATTTTGGATATTAACCCTTTATCTGATATATGGTTTGCAAAAATTTTCTCCTTTTCTGTAGGTTGTGTTTTCATTGTGTTAATTCTCTTTTGCTATGCAGCAGCTTTTGAGTTTGATGTAGTCTCATTTGTTGACTTTTGCTTTTGTTGTTTATGCTGTTGGCATCACGTTCAAAAACTTATTGCCAAGACCAATATGGATGAGCTTCTTCCCTACATTTTATTCAAGGAGTTTTATTATCAAGTCTTAGTTTAAGTCTTTGGTCCATTACGAGATAAGTTTTGTGAGTGGTGTAAGATAGTTCAATTCCATTGCTCTGCGTGTGTTTCTCTAGTTCTCCCAGCACCATTTGTCGAAGCCTATTCTTTCCCCATGGGTATTCTTGGCTCCCTTGTTGAATATTAGTTGACCATATGTACTGGGATTTAATTCTGGGCTCTCTATTCTGTTCCATTAGTCAAGGTGTCTATTTTTGTGCCAGTACCACATTGTTTTTATTACTATGACTTTGTTGTATAGCTTGAAAACTGGAAGTGTAATACTTCCAGATTTGTTCTTTTTTCTCAGGATTGCTTTGGCTATTCAGACTCTTTTGTGGTTCCACACA